TCAAAAATAATTGACTTACAGTAAAAAAATATACTTATACTTTTTATTTAAAATTCTACGTTCTACAATTTAAGTTCTATACATTTTTTCGCTAAGTATCATATTTATTTGTAAGTTCGAAAAAATGATAAAACTACCCTTGTTGGCTATTTTCAACACCCCAGGGGCACGGTAAGGGAGTGAGTAGTTACGACCAAAATTAACCAAAATTATTTTCTTATAACAATGAAAAAAATGAGGGGATCCTACATTAAAAATAAATAAATAAATACATAAATAATTTTTTCTTACTTCTATAAATAAGGACCACCCTAATATATATGTTACAGTAAAAGTGCAAATACTGGTAAAACCTAAGATTTAATGGTGAATCCTAAGTTTTATCGACTGTCGCGACCAGGTGCATTTACAAAAATATATTTAGGGGGGGGATTAAGGTTGTACACTTGTATAACAAAGAAGTTAACTTACTTTCATTTGTAAGATTATTTATTTTTCATTAAAAATGTCAATATTTTATAATAACATTCGCTTTTAGCCTTTAGGTGCACACCTATTACTAAATTTTATATTTATTGTGATGATAATGCGGACTATGCAATATCGCCGTATCAGTTTTTATTTTTTGAAAACAAAGAAATCATAAAAAATTAGAAATAACAATAAAAATACGATTATATATCTACTATCTAATGATAAAATAAAAACAAAAACAAAATTGTATTTATCCTCATTTACAGACCCACTTTAGATAATAATAAAAATCTACTTTCATTATAATTTTCATGAATTTTTGGAAGGAGAGGTTAACCTATGACCTCATGTAAACGTACCTAGTTTCTACTAAATATTCGAATTTCGGACATTTATCAAATGGTTTTGGTAAAATTGAGGATAGTTTGGTTAAACCCCAAATAAATTTTTTTAGTTCAGATTATTGTTCAAAAATTAAATATAAACTGTTAATTTTGAAAATGATATTTTATTGGAGATAAAAACAAATATTTTTAATCAAAAAAATAAAACGAAATATAGTTTGTGTCTATGATTATATAGGAAGTGTTACAATTGCCTACTAAATGTTCGACACCGTAATTGCGTGTCTCCAGAAACTAATGATTCACAAAAGTTGATAGTATAGTGTAGTCATAACAACCAACATTGTTTTTCTTTTAACTTTTGTATTTAATCCAACAATTATTAATTCTTACAATAATGATAATAATATTATAATACTTAGAACCTGTTCCTATAGTATTATAAATTATACTGAACTGTTAAAATAATTAACTAAGCAACTTTTGTAATAATTTTTGGCTTCTGGGTTAATACATGTATATAGAACAGCTAAATAAAAATGTTGGCCTTTTTGTTGTATACCACGTTAATATTGACATTTCCGGCTGTTTCATGTCAGTCAATTAATGGTATGTGTTCATAAATAAAAATTGTATGGTAATTTAAAACGACCATGTCTTGTACTTAAGAATGTTTAAACTTTGCTGTTTTTCAGTGCTGCCTAAATATACACCAGAAAAAAGGATACCGTTGTTAGCGGCCGTTGAAAACCTCATAGACGCTATCAAAAAGACTGGTGTTCGAGACGAGGATGAACTGAAAAAAATCAAAGCCGTTATCTTGATTCAAGTGCTCGATCTCTTGAGGCAGTACCCTTCCGAGACGAATAACGATGATACCATTACCAGTACAATATTGACGACTACCACCAGTACATCGTTCGTCACCACCAATATACCGTGCGTCACTATCAATATACCGAGTGTCACCTCCAGTACAATGTGTGTCACTATGACTCCGTCTGGGAACGATCTCCGCCGCCGACGGTCGATGTCCAATGACCTACCAGCTTTCAGTGTGGAAGTTCAACCCGATTTAGTCAATCTGATAAACGGATACCGAGATTATTAATAAAAATGATCAGATTAATATAAATGTTACTGTAAAAAAAAGAAAAGAGTTAATACTGTGGACGAGTGCAACTACTGTTGTAGATGGGAAGTTATGAAAATAGAATACATAATGTTATTTATTTCATTTATATCTAAAGGAACAATAAACCATTGCTGACGAAAGACGATTCCGAGCGCAGTTCGGTAATACACAATTTGAAGTGCCGTAATTCTTTTTGCGATTTTCGTTTAAATTTAATTTCAAAACTCTTATTAAAAAATAATTCAACAAAAATATGGTCTCTTGTCGTTTTTCAATTGGAGCCATATTTATGTTAGAAAACGTGGTAGGTACTTATTTAAAGTAACGAAATCTTGAAAAGATCGTATTTTTTTCCCAGTTAATCGTTTTTATTTTAAATACCGTTTTGAAAATCAAAAAAGTAACCTATGTATTTACCAAGTAGATAAAATAGACTTACAAAAAAGTGCTACACTTATAAATAATCACTAATCGGAGCAAGTTTTCTATGATAAAAGTGGTCTACAGAATATATATATAAAAAATTAAGTACAATTGTAAAAAAAAGGGAGAAAAGTTTCAGTGGTTTTTAACTGTAGGTTCAACTGAGGTACAAATACAACACTCCCACAGGCCTATCACCAGGTCAACCACCGCCGCCGCCGGAAATACAGACGCGTTATTTCAGCTAATGGACAAAACAATACGTGAATTGCTAAATTTGCTCGGGCCGATCGGATAAAAAGGTATAGGCACAAATAACGACGAACGCGCAGCTGACTTGAATTCAGATAAGGAACGCGACACACACAATGCAACACGAACGTCTATGGGGGACGCTGAGGCGACCGACACCTCTATAAACGCCGATACCGACGCTACCCCTGACGTCATCGCCGTCGTCGCGTTAACAAAAACAACGACGAATATAAATTCGAAAAATATTACGTATGCTGGCGATAATTCAACCTGCACACATTTCTCCACTCGTATCGTGTACAGTGAAAACATAATCAAAATTAATATTGCCAATACATCCGCACTCGGAGATGCATTACGTCTCATACCAATCTTTGACGGCAAAAAACCGTCCGATATCTACTCTTTTATAAATGTCTGCGACACCGCACTAGCTAGTGTAACGGAGGGAACGAAATCGTTTTTATTGAAATCATTAAAAACAAAATTACGCCGTAACGCAATATCGGAAGATAGAATAATTGTAACTCAATGAAAAAAATTATTAAAAGATAAATATTGCAAACAACGTATAACAGTGCTTCTCCAATTAGAATTAACGCCAATTAACACGTCAACGTGTAAATGAAACTATAGATGCTTATTTAGCGAGGGTAAAAAAGCTATTTCACAAATTGTACAACGCAAGTACAAAGAGAAAATCGGTTATCGAAGCTAAAATTATTCGTGACCATATAAAAAGTCAGTCGCTAGTTACATTTATCGAGGGGTTACGTTAACCAGTGAAATAAATTATTAAAGCTAGTAGACCGACCTCATTAGAGACGGTCATAAAGGAAAGTTTAGAGGAAGAACACATATACCAATCAGATAAGAAAACACAGCAATTTTTCAGAAACCCAAAACCCAACAGCAGTTGAAATTCAAGGTACAGCAGTCATTGCAGAACGCGTACTTACAATACTAAAGACTGCCGATCGAAGGGATACAATTCTACAAATAAAATAATCACAGGATCTGCCTCGTCGTATACCGTAAAAACGGAAGCACCAGACACGGGAGGGAGTGATCAAAGAACCAAATTATTCTGCCGTTATTGCAAAAAGCCAGGCCACGACATAAATTACTGCAGAACCAAGAAAAAGTGAGACAGACAAAATTCGAGTTCAGGAAACGAGGAGTTTCCGACCGTCAAGAGTGAACAGAAAGGCTGTTGAAACGACACACACAAATAGACCTTAGACCACATAAATAGGGAGAAACCCGAATCCGTAGAATTAATTTGCTATGAGTTTGCGGATATCTTTCATCTGAAAGGAGATACCATTACACGTGTATGGACACCGTCTAACATGAGATCAAAACGCCTGGGGTGAGCCAACCCATTCATCAATGGCCGTATCAAATATCATAGGCCTAACAAGCGGAAATTAATAAGCAGGTGAGAGAATTATTGGAAAATGGCGTGGTACCAACAGCGGGAGTTCGTAAAATGCGCGTCACTGCTTATAGTACCTAAGAAAATCGACGCAAATGACGAGCAAAAGTACCGAGTAGTAGTAGACTTCCAGAAACTGAATAACTTGACGGTTGGGGACGCATTTCCAATGCCCAACGTGAACGAGATCCTGGACCAATTGGGAAGCGCCAAATATTTTAGCTGTTTGGATATGATAAGTAACCTAACATTAGGTACCACTACACCCAAGGGATCAAGAGAAAACAGCCTTCAGTACGAACCAGGGGTACTACGAATTCCAGCGGATGTGCTTAGATTTTAAGGAGCACCATCAACATTTCAACACCTAGTAAATCGAGTGTTATGAGAATAAATAGTTTCACGGCTTTCGTATACCTAGATGACGTTATATTTGTCGCAACAGTGGAGTAACACAGAGAACGACTGAAAGTTTGAGTGGTTCCGTGTCTACAATTTCAAATTACAGCCAGTAAAATGTAAGTTCGTGTGACGAAAGGTAAATTACTTAGGGCACATAAACAAATCGTCCAACCATACAGTGAAGTAGACAATGATTATTACGAATACAACACGGACGGATACTTAGAAGATATTCATAGATATCTTTGGTCCTATCTCAACGTCTTACTGAGAGAACTCTTATACCCTTACGATACAGGATGATCTCACGAAGTATTCATTAGCAATACCCATTCTTCAACATAATGCAAAAACAATAGCCAAATAAAATCGTAGAAAAATTCGTCTGTATCCATGGAGCACCTCAGTTCAAGAAACGGATCAAGGCGCAGATTTCATGGGAAGGTTTTTTCTGCGTATTATAAGTTATTAAAAATTGAAAAGTTTCACACTACAGCGCACCACTCACAAGCAGATGGTTCTTTAGAATACAGCAACCGAACCTTAGCGGAATATCTAAGATATTATGTAGATCTAAACTTGCAGTATTGAGATGATTACGTTCCCTACTCGATGTTTGTTTATAACGTGACTCCGCACACAACAACAAATCGTCAACTATATGAACTATAGTATGGAAAACCAGCTGAGATACCTCATTCTTTAACAAGAACAGAAGAAGCGCGGTATAATTACGACGATTACAGCTTGGATCTGAAACAGAAATTGCAAAGAGCGCATGACACTGTTAGGAAAACTATTATAAAGAAGGAGAAATCTAAGAAAGCTTACGATCGTACGTCAAAACCAATCAACGTACATGTGGGTGATAAGGTACTAATTAAATGGCACACCATAAAAGGTAAATTGAACGCCAAGTGGGAAGGGCCATTAGAGATCGTAGGACGCATCGCCACGGAAAATATAATTATTCAGAAAGGACGAATAGAAATCAAAGTTCATATATGGTGAAACTCTTCAACGATTAATACCCTCTACGTAGCACACTTATTATCACCTTATCTTTTTTCTTCTATCTGGGCTAAGCATTAAAAAAAAAAAAAAAAAAAACAATTTTTTATTACAGGATCTTCTCGTATGTGGCTATCATACCTTACCGTTTATCGCATACACTTCTTCACTTCTTATTACAATATCACGAAAATTAAACACTCTCCGGTATATTTCAATGCTATGAGAAACTTAGAAGTAATCGAGTAACATTGGAACGTTTTAACGTCTGTAAATCTTCAATTATTTGATGATCTATAAGTAATAGAAAAATAGGGATCCTGGCACACATAAAATTCAGATTATTCTGAAAATAATAAATATGGAATACCTCGAATAAACAAAAACTTCCAGGTAAATTTAAAGATAAATTTAATGATCAAATAATGACTGAATTTGTTGGATTAAGATCCAAACTATATACATTTAAAGTATTTGAAAATTAAAAAAGTGAAAGGTGTGAAAAACCCATAGTTAAAAATGAATTATGTAATAAAGATTTGTATAACTGTTTGAAAAATAAAATCAAAAATAGATAAAACAGAACATTTTTAGAACAGATAAACATAATATTTATACCGTATAACAAAACAAAAAAGCTCTTAATGAATATGATGAAAAAAGATAGATTCTAGAAAATGGTATTACAACTGTAGCTTGGAAACATTATTCAACAAAAATAAAAAGAGAACATTTCAGAGAATACCTTGATAATTTAATAAAAACAAATAATAAAAAAGAATAATAATTTTAATATAAGTTATTTTTAAGAAATGTTCCTTTGCACGCGTGATGCATTAAATTATTATATTATTTATTTATTTTTTAAAGAGAACTGTTCCTAGCACAATGTGTATATGAAAATAGTTTTTTAAACCTTTAAAAATAATAAATACATATTTCTCTTGTTTTGATATAAGAAATTAACCTTTTAGACTTATGGAAGAATGTGAATGGAGATTAGACATTAATTTTTTAATTATTATTTTTAATTCATTTTTTTTTATTTTCATTTATTTGAAATGTTTTTTTTAATATAAGTATGTGAACAAAGAATAATATGAAAACAATGTGAACAGAAATCTGAAATTAGTTTTTAAAATTGAAAATACCTGGCTGCACTAGGATCCCCATTTTTCTACTACTTCTATACTCTAACGTCGATTACTATGTAAAACAACTGACGCTCAGTTGTAATACCAAAGACAAACAATCCGTAAAAGGAATGTTGTATATACGATTTCTTACTCATGTCTCGACATTAATGAAAGACATAGATCGTAACAGGGAGCACCCATACGGCGACAAACTCATCATGTCATGAGGAAAGGTAATGTGATAGCTAATGTCCTCTTCGGTGTCTGCGATGACAATGACGCCGAGAAGCTGTTTATTTATAAATCTGAGTTCCAAAATTTCAAAGATTCAGCTGTTCACATCTTAGATTCGCAAACAAAAGTTATTCGAAATACCATATATGACATAAATGCGGCTATATACTTAGCTAGCAAACAAACTAAATTGGTTGAAATAAAAGAAAAGGCGAATGCAAAAAATGTTCTAACATTACACAAACAAATTACCGACGCTCAAGCAAATATTATGCTTCTAGTAAAACTACTGGCGTTGGAATCGGAAGATTTGGTAACAACAATAAACTATGCGTTTCTGGGGCATTTGCAATCGAATCTGTTGAATCCCAAGACCATATCAGAACAACTCCAAAGCATCAAAGGAATACTCCCACCGAACACAGAGTTTCCAATACGCACCACAGCCAACAGCATAGCTAACTTTTTCATCATAACCAGAGTTACTATCGTTCAGTATATAAAAAACCTGATGTTTACCGTTAGAATACTAATATCGAATGGAATGTATTTTCTCCTGTATGAAATTATCCCACTTCTTATAAGTATGTCTCAAAACACATCAGTTATGCTACAACTCATAGAAACAAGAGCAGCTCAAAATCTATAAATTGCTTGACAATTTGTACCTGTGCCTAAATGAATAGTCGTCAATCCATTACGAATTAACAGGAACATGTTGTGAACTGGAATTATTCAAAAGACCATCGACATTACCGTTAATTTTTCAACCCAAAATTCTCACAAAAAGACCAACATATGGCAGAGAAAATTATAAAGAGAAAATACATGGTTTACCTCGTAGAAAATACTACCATAACAATGCCTTGCGAAGACGTTTCCTAACCAGTTAGAATACCTATAGAGGGCACTGGGAAAGTAGCTTTCCACTGTACAACTTATACCGAACATTCTCTATTATTACCGTCACGGACATGTAAATCCTTAATTCTTACAGATTTCTTTCCAGTCATACCGATCAAAATTTATTCAGGATTCAAGGGATTTAAGTTAATGTTAAACTAGAATAAATCAATCAATCAAATAGAGATATTAACCACCCTACCATGATAATGGTAGAATGCGTAATATTATTAATTATCGTAACTTTAATTTGCATTTTTATATTTTATATACGATTAAAATTTAAAAAATATATTACACAACATAAAATTAATTATAAACCACAGGGCAACGAAACAATCGCTTTACAGCCCATATCTTTTCAAACAAAGTTTTTAAGAACAGAAAACCCATAACCTGCCATAATTTAAATCTAAAATCGCAATAGGGCTTTCGTTTAGCCCCAAGGGTCTTATGAACTACCGCACGAGCCGTGTTAGAAAAAATTGCGTGTAAGTGCTGAACTATCAACTGAACTCTGCTCAGAATCGTTTTTTCGTAAGCAATAGTTTATTGTTGCTTACATGTATACATTAAATTAGTTATAACAGTGGCTGTACCCGTCTCCATCGTAGAATGTCTTTCTTTTACTTTAAACACATTCTCTATAGTTGTTTGTCCATTGTATAATGCGATATGAAACTAAATATCTATATCGCAAACAAATATTCTTACATTTTTTTTTTAAGATTTTCATTAGTTGGAAATCTATAAAATGTATAAAATATAACATTATGTATATGTAAAGACCACAAATACTAGGTATAATAATTAATGCAAATATATACTAACTGAAAAATGTAATATTATATTTTCACTAATTGTATCTCAGCAGAGAATACAGGTGTCGGCAACGAGATATTGTCGATTTTTGAAGAACTACTCGAAGCTGGTATAATAGAGAGGATTCCAAATGTCTAAACGCGAGATCGCGTTCGAACAGCATAAACCTGCACGAACAAATTTTGTTAGACGAATAGTTAATGTTTATGGGAAAAATGATTTATGGCAAACCGACTTGGCCGAAATGATACCGTACTCTAGGAAAAATAGGGGTTACAAATATATAATTATCGATTGTTTTACGAAATATGCATGGGTTATACCTCTAAAATCGAAAACGACGAAAGAAATCACTATTGCAATGTCTAGAATATTAATTAATCGTTCGCCCAAGTTATTACAACTTGACAATAGAAAAGAATTCTATAATACAGCGTTTGACGAGTTAATGAAAAAATATGATGTTAAAAAGTATTCGATCTTTAGTACTACTAAACATGTATTGTGGAGCGGTTCAATTGTATGCTAAAAGAAAAAATGTTTAGAGAGTTTACTGCTAAAGGAATACATAACTGGATAGATAGTTTGCAAATGATAATTAAAAATTATAATAATTTTAATCACCGAACGATAGGAATGACACCGGCAGAGGCAGATATAAATCCGCAGCAGTTAAATTAAAACACGATAATATTATACCTACTAGAAAAAAAAAAATTATCGTAGGCGATAGCGTACGTATCAATACACAGAAAGGCGTGTTTACAAAAGATTATCTCCCAAATTGGTCGACAGAGCTTTTCACTATTGTTAAAATAAATAAAACCATACCTACGACGTACATGTTAAAAGAATATTCAGGGAGTTCAATTGCAGGTTGTTTTTATAGCGAAGAATTAAATAAAAAAGTTACCAAATGACTACTTAATCGAAAAAGTGATCCGTACCAAAGGATAAAGAGTTTTTGTCAAGTGGCTTGGATTCGATAACAGTCACAATAGTTGGATAAATAGAAATACTGTTAAAAAATAACGTTAGTCGTACGTTAGCTATGGATGTGTTTGGAAGAACTTTGGAAGGCATCCAAAATAAGATGATTTCTAATCTGAGAATAACAAACAAAATATTAAATGACAGTATGTAATGATCATCGTGTAATTACGTTATATATGTGACGTCTACTTCCAAGATTAACCCTACCGGAGAAATATCGTCCATTCCATCTAATAATCTTAAAATATTTTCTGTACTCAAGTCTTTGTCATACCATTCAAATCCATTATTTGGTAAACACTGCATCATAGCCCAGCCGTACCTAGAAAAAATTAAATTAAATGAAATAAATAATAATAATAATAATATGATTGATAATAAATACAGATTCGTGGCGTACAAATAAGCAATCGTTGATTCCGGTTTTGAAGAATCATAGCCAGGAACTTTACTGTTGTTGGCTTTTGAATATCGTTTCACAGCTTGTGTTAGTCCACCACGGATGCCCGCTTCCATCATTAGAACTTTATTGTAATCGGATAACAGTTCGACTTCCACCTTCGTAATTATTAGCGCACAGTCGAACGCCATGCCAGGTGCCGTATAATAGTAATTTGGATCTACGCCATACGTGTCCATACATAAATTCAGTGGCCGCTCGTGTATATGTGCACAAGTGCACGTGCACTACTCAAGAAAAATTGAAAACATAAATCATAATAATACAACTAACTACTAAGTACCTGTAGTATTATTAAGATTATTTTTCATAATATAAAAATATAAATTCAGAATATTATGAAAATAATATAATATTTGGTTTGCGTTATTTCGATTGCCAAACAGCCGGACTGTCCGCGACGGAACAGTATCGGTGTGTATTATAGTGGTGGAATTGTGCACACAATCGTTGTGCACATTTGTACAGTGTAAAAATTAAAACAAATCGAAACACGTAACCCGCGTTATAATGGAATTGGTGTGCACATATGTTTCTGTGCACAAAACCAATTAAATTGTTATCAGCGAATTATTTTTGACATCGCCGTGTCGTTGCGCGTCGGCATCGGCATTATAATTTATTTTTACTCTCATTCATTTATTATATTCCGATTATCAGCTGTTAATATTGGCTAGTCAATCATTATCGGAAATTCAAAACAACAATCGTGTTTCTGTTTTCTATCGACGACCGACATTACATTTATTATTATTATTTATTATTATTCGTGTATTTGTTTTCAATTTTTAAAATGAATTCAGTACAGAAAATACTGCAATGCAATTTTTCAACAATCTCGTTGGAGAAAAAGATGGAAATAAAAAATAAAGGTAGGCCTACTCCAGACTTAAATATTAAACAAATTACTAAATGTTAGACGAGATAATATGTAAGAAAATTTAATAATAATATATATAAAATCTATGACTGGATTTGTGGTTGTTCAGAAACTAATCGTTTGTATTGTTTTCCCTGTTTACTTTTTGGTCAAAAATTTAATGATGTCGCTTGGGTAAAGAATGGAAATAAGAATAAAAGGTAATTGGTAAATAACTAAAGTTTGTAAACAATTATTTAANTATTAAATTTTGTGGAACATTTGAACTTGCACTCAGAGGTCACGATTAAAAATCAAATTCAGAAAATCCCGGCGTATTTTGAGATCTTATAAACTTTCGTTCAGAGTTAGATTCGGTACTAAAATGTCATATTGAGAACTCTTCGGTATTTAAAGGTTTATCCAAATCCAAATCAATCCAAAATGATTTACTAGAATGTTGTTTAGCTGTATGTCAACAAAGAATTAAAAATGAAATAAAACAAGCAGAATATATTTCTGTAATGGCTGATGAAACAACTGACGTATCTGCTCAGTTTCAATTGTCAATAATATTTAGATATTTACTATCGGATGGAACACCAGTAGAAAGGTTTTAGGAATTTTTCAATCCTACTGGACATGATGAGAAATCGTTGTCTGAATGTATAATATTCAACTTGGAAAAAGTCCTAGAATCGCCAGATATGTTGATTTGTCAGAGTTACGACGGCGCTGTGTTACATTTTTGCACAGCATTTGAAAGAATCTCATACATTTCGGGCTTAGACAAGTCTAAAAATTCTTTATACTCGTGCAAATTTTCAATATTTTTTTTGAAAAAAAAATTGAGACGTACCATTGAATGCCGACAGCGGTGAATTGAATCCTGTTTTCGTTGTTGCTGCCATACGCATGCTTTTATTAGATTTCGGCTTAGCAGTATTCTCATTATTAAAATGTTCCTATTCTTTTTCAAATAAAGCATCGACTCAAAATTGACTAAAATCTCCCCACACGTCTTCAATTTATCTCTTGGCAGTGGGAAATGACTGTATTGGAGAAATATCTATAAAAAATTTAATTAAATAAATTATCTATATAGCTAATGATAATACCCATGTGTGTAAATTACTATTAGTCGACGCACCGGCTTGAATATTATCTACATTTATTCCCAGTGCAATCTCTTTTTGGTCATTACCATAACTATTGACTGCAAACAAAAAAAAATCATAATAATATATTTATAAATATTAATCGTATTAAACAAATACTTTTGGTAGAGGACGGTGTTGAGATAACATCTTAATTTATGTCTGGTTCAATTTGAGAATTTTTGCTAATATCAACTAAAAATATGATTGATTTATTTATATCCCTTTCATAGTCCTTAAAAAAATTGAATACATACCTTGGATGTCCTTATTAAAGCACGATATAGTTCTACCTTGGGGATGTACTTCTTTCATATGATAAGCGAGAGTGTCTTTTCGTATAAACAACTTATTGCACAAATTGCAGGCAAACTTCACACCCTCGTGGGGCTTTACGTGGCGCATCATGCTACGCCGAGCGGAAAAAATTTTTCATAGTCATCATAAAAAGTGTGTAGATGAAAAAATTAGTTTCGAGAATTGAAAAAAAAAACTTTACATACCCTGTTATTTATTAGGCTACGTTCGCAACTTACTGAGGCTCTGTACGTCTTGGGGGTCCGGGGGCCGTAGAACGTTGCCGACTTGGTGGCATCTTTCCGGTCACTCATGGTTCTCGAGTGTTTTGCACGGTCTATTCTTCCTCAAAGGAAGTAACACTGATATGTACACAGTATCGCGAACAATTCAAGGGAACGCTAGTCCCCGACACCAAATTTTGAGGGAGCACACGCCATCACTGTAAGCGTAAGTTTGTTATATGGCAGTTGGACAACTAGGACGCTAAATGACGTTCCAGTATCTTTGACCTTAAATAAGTATTTCCTACAAGAAAGGACGCGACGCCAGCCGCGGGCGGATAATGATGCAGAAACGGATGTGGGTATCCGCTCGTGGAGTGGTTTAGTGTGACAGACACGTACGTTTGCACATAATTCCCGTCCGGGACCGGCGGGGGCAACTCAGAAGTTGTACGTGTTGGTGACACACGGCGTTCTACACAGCCCCCTGGGATTACGTGGACGTGGCCCTGTGTCATAGGGGAGTCCTGAAACACCTAATTCATATCCTACGGTTCTATATGGAAAACCGTATCCTCACCATCCGTCTCATTAACGGGCCCAGTTCCATTAAACCGGTCACGGGTGGTATTCTAAAGAACTCCGTCCTCGGCTGCACCTTATGGAACGTTTTCTATGACAACCTTCGGAAAATCGACGCCCTTGAAGGGATTAAACTACAAAGTCATCAGTGAAGCGACACTGATGACTTTGCACTCCTCGCCGTTTCACATACTCCCGAAATGCTGAAACAGGTCATCAATCCCACACTCAAGGTTGACAGTTGAATTGGGAACCACAGTCTTCAGCTCACACACCAGAAGATGAAGGCAATAATTCTAACTAAGAAATGGGCACTCCACTCTCCCATTCTGTTCTTCGGTTGTCAATATGAATCTGTGTTACCTTGGACTACATCTGGATTCCCACCTAACCTTCAGCAGCCATCTAAAAATGGTCTCTGGCAAGGCTTCACAGGCAGTCAATTCCATTGGACCATCGGATCCATCATGCCCAATCTTAAAGAACCCTTTCAATAAAATCAACATTTTATGGATCCTCAATTTCCACGACATACAGGCCTTAACAGGTCACGAGTGTTTCAAGCACCATCTCTGCCGGATAGAACGAGCTCCAGGTGCGGAGTGCCTATACTGTTGATACCCGGAAAACACCGTTAAGCACACGCTATTCGTATACCCTCACTGGTAAATCTTACCGGCAAAACATCAGAACGTATGTTAGCGGAAGAAATATAACTCCCAGCGATGTCCAAAATCTACTCTGCTGCCCGGAGACATCCCATCCCGGGATTCTGACTAAGCTATATTCGATCAAATCCCAGCAGCTTCATTTCGTGGCTCACAGTCCTTCTATCACATGGTGGAGGACATACTGAGCCGCATAAGCAAAACGAGAGGATAAGAGAGGCTGAGGCAAGGGCTACAAAATGTTATATATTGGGAGGAGTATAAGAGAATTTACTTTCTATCGATAGTTTTACCTACAGATATATAAAACAACTTCGTAGCCGATTTTTGTATTATTATTGCAGCCAACAAATTGGCCAATATTTTTATCAAAAAGGTGAATGTTTATGTTTCATACACGATTTAAGATATACATATATTAATGCAAAATTAAATCGTACTTTTACAATATTGATAAGGAATGATATTATAATAAGTCATGTGATAATATCCCACGCCCTATAAAAGGTTAAATATTAAGAACACTGTACACTGTGCAGTAGAGGTTTTATATTTCCCCGGAGAGTAAAAACCCTGATCATACAATTCCGGAATCGTAATATTACGGAAATCAATATGTGATGCCAACGCCATCTGGAAGTACAGCTATAAAGGTTACCATCACTGCTTCCAGCTGGCGACCAAGCAGCAAAAAGAGCGTTGTGTGATAGCGCATCCCCT